TATTCTATTTAACCTTGTTGACTCTGAAGCGCTCCTCAGAAGCTGGAAATAGCCTGAACTCATTTTGCCTTTTCAGTCTCTTCTCAGGTTGGTGACATCCAGACATCATGTCCAAGCATTAACTGCTCTGGCACCAGAAAGATTCCTTTACAGATGTGCACTCAAAAAAAACATCCTCCCAGTCTGATCAGGATCTACAGCTGTGCATTTCCTAAACTTCAAGAACATCATAAATTCATGGTTTGCTTAAACTATGATTATTCAAAACTACCAAAAACTTGACTGAATACATTTTACATACTCTACTGCCCCATCTCTACTCAGACTGTTAGACTGGTTGGAAAGTTGATGGATTTTACCACTTGACTTTTATTTATTTATTTATTTTTATTGAAAGCTTTGCCTAAGCAATCTATTAGTTAAAAAAAACAAAACAAAACACAAAACCCAAGTAAAACCAACCCCCACCCCCCCAACCACAAAACAGACATGTGCCCCCCAAGATAGAAGAGCTAGCTTACTACTGTTCACCATTCTGTACAGTCTTTCATGAAAATTTGCACTTCAAAGCAATCTGAGGAAGAATGCACAATTCACAACCTGTGGTCTTGCTCTCATTTGCTGAAGTCTCAAAGGACCCAGGGTGGTGTAGAAGTCACATGGTGCTTAAGTCTGTCTCAAGCAACAACTCAGTATGGTTACCAAAACAAATATTTAAAATAAAAAGAATCTCAATATCAAGTAGTACAAAGGAAGAGGAAAGTTACACTAGCCATCAGCTAAGCTGATTCTGCCTCACCTGACCTTCTTAATGTTTTCATTTGTACCAATCCCTGTGGGTGGATTTGAGCATGCCAAGCAAGTCATCTTTGTAACTTTTAACTCTGTAAACCCAGCGATATTCAAGTGTTGTGTTCATACTTTTACTTTAACCTCCAGTGCCCATCTCTGACACTCTCTTTTTAGATGACGTTATTTGATTACTACCTTGATAAAATGGTTTAGCACATGCATACAACCTATTCTGAGAACATTAATCAACTTAGCAATATGCTTATAATTGACAGGACTTTTTGGATTATGGTTAACAAACACAGCTTCTATTAATGGTTCTATCAGTCCCAAGACAAGTAGTCATAGCATGCCCTTTAACAGTAGCCAGTGTCAGCTTTCTCCAGAGAAAGTTTCTTTTGCTTACATCACTTTCCAATCATTTTGACCCTCACCAGTGCAGTGAGGAGCACAGTTAAGCTGTAACGAAAGCAAGGCCATTTCGTCTAGCAAGAAGAGTAGAAGAAAATATTCAAGTACATAACATCCTCCTCCACCTCCCCCATATTTCACATCACTCCTTTTGTTTCCCTTGTGTCCCAGCAGACATACGGAAAATGGCAGGAAAGAATGGACAGACACAGAATCAGTCTCTCCCACTCTTGCATGCAAGACTGACTAATTGTATAATCATGGGTACTTTGCTTTTGCAGTTCAAAAATTCAACAGACAATTTTTGTATTTGCAAATGCTATGATGCCTTATTTGCAAGTTTCTCCCTTAAAAGGGACTAAAAACTTGTTTTGAGAAGTGAAACATTGGTTTAGTTGCCCAAAGAGGAACTTCAAGCTGAAACTGAGTATTGCTTAACTAAAATCTCAGGACTTGACAACAGCAATTTACTGTTGCTGAAAGCAGGCCTTTTAAATTGTACTGAAAATCCATCCTCATCTTTAGAGAAGAGAATCATTGTGAGTTTATTTTTCCTCACAGTTAGGGAACATGGGATCTACTTGCCCCATAAAGACAGAGTCTTGACATTTATCAGTGCACAGCCTCTTGAATTCAGTAACAGCACGTCACATACCTACAGCTGCATGTGTGAGCTATGGTTCAGACAGCAGCCTTTTTAGCCACATCAATCCGTGTGTTAAGCAATGGTAACCAAATGTATGTCCACCTTCAACGTGCATCACTGCACCTATCAAGCTTTTCTCTGGGACAGTTTCATTGCTATGAGAACCAGTCTGTGTATTAAGCTTAAGACTTCCATGGACTTATTCCTGTTACCTTGAAGTGCAACCACATGAGCCTATCACATACCGAATACACAAGACTCCTAGACATATCACTTGCTAATGAAATTGCTGAATGTGCACTTACATCTCCTCCCACAATGTATTATTTGCCTTTTTGTTTTACAGTATTTGGTTTAAGCTTCCAACTACTTTGTGCTGTAATACTGAAAATCAGATTCTAAAAAAGGCAGAAGGCCATTACAAGGAAAAAAAATACCCAGCAAATCCTCTTTGTCCTTGATGTAACCAGCTCCTGTTCATGACAGGAACTAAGTAACTTTCACAATGGTTTACATCCAGGTTCCTCATTTCAGACTGGAAGACCAGATTAAAAATTTGGCATCTCACCCAAAGGCTGTTGCTCTTTCTCACCCAAGTATGGCACAAACAGCTGCAGAACTTGCCCTCCTGCACCTCTCAGAAAGCCAAGCTGCTGCTTGGGAAGAAAGGGGAGATGGGAGAGCCAGCTATTGACATAGGATAGCATCTGCTGTGAAGGGAGCATGTGCCCTGTGGCAACCACAATGCTTGGGAAAAGCAGCTGCAACATCAATTATCAGGGTTAAGCTGTGAGCAAGTGCAAGAGGTTGCATTTAGCTGCTTAGGCAGCATTAATTCTTTGAACAGCCCCCACCTAAACTGAGCTTAAGGAAACTGCCTGGAAAGCAAGACCTATTAGGGTCCAATTAGGGCCACAACGAAAAGCCTTCAAAATCTCCTGCATATAATAAAACTTATATGTGGTTGACACTCTTCCTTCCTCCACCCCATCCAACTGAATAAATCTGCATGGTTGTAGATGGGTTAAAAGTTAAATTCCATCTCTAGTGTTAGAGCATTCACATAAAAGATCTTCAATTAACCGATTACTGAAGGGTTACACTGACGGGAACAGTGAACAAATAGTAGCTTGTTAAGCACAGAGTGTCTGTGAAGAGTGGTCAGGGAGAAGATGCTTGCAGAGTTAAGATTGCCTGACATTTTTCCAGTTAAAAGATAAGGGAAAAAAAAAAAAAGCCTGACAAAATTCAATTGGTTCAAGTAATTTTTTCATGTCACATTCAGTTTAATCTTTGTCCTAATCTACATGTAAGGCTTTTTCCATTTAACCAAATAAACCCCAGAAAATATGAATGGTGCTTAAATCAAAACCAGAGACTGATCGTTTTGAATTTGTAATTCCCTATTCTGTGCCAAAGAATCACTTTTGGGGGGGGTCTGTGCTAAAGAAACACATTGAAAAGCTGCAGCGTGTATTTCCCCTACTAAATATTTGGACTGTTTAATTTGCCCCAAATTTAAGCTGCTCTTTGCATGCTTCAAGAAATCATTGTACAGGCTGAGAAAAAGTCCTGTGTAATTACTTCATTTGACTGCTATGGACAGAACAGAGATTAATAGCAAAAGACTACCAGCAAAAGCAGAGCAGGAGGGATTATGCTACATTGCTGAAGTGCTTCCTACTGTTAACATCTGAACAGTATGGCAGCAAGAAAAAAAAAAAAACAGTCATCCAGTTTGAAAAAAGAAAAAGAGGACAACAGTGACCAATACCAGGACAGGCTGACAGAAGAATTTAATCTTTAAAATACAAGGCCAAGAATTGCCTGGAAGGCCATCCAAAATTACTAAGTTCCAAAAGTCATCTCATGTCAATGATATCTACTGTCCTTCTGTGAGTTTCTTTCTGCTCTACTTCATATGCAGAGCAATAGGCAACAACGAGGTACTCCATAAGGGAGCAATTCCCCCTGACTGTGGAGTGAACCTACACCTTCCAAACGTAATGGTCAAGGTTACATCCATATATGATGTTACATAACTTAATTACAATGTCCTCCAGCATTTGCTTTACTCTTTTAAAAAAGTTCTTATTTTTTTAAAACCTTTCGCAAACATAGCTGAGTTGCAAAAGTAGAAAATGTACCTTCTCCACTCGCATCTTCTACTGCCTTGACTCTACCTATACCATACACAAGAGCTACCTTACCAGTCCTGCCGCTGTTTCAGCAAGACTCATAACCTTGGAAAGTTTACTTTGCCACTCTTTTTCCACAATTAGTAGTCCTGTCCCACAAAAACACCCTCTTGCAGGAGTTGATTCTTTTGACCATACTTTAATTCAATTCCCATCCTTGGGCTGCCAAGGATGTTAATTTCTAATAAGACTGGTAGTGTTCATCCTTCATTGAGCTGACAGCCAGGGACTGGATTTAGGCCCAGAGTCCCAGTTATTTAAACACCTCCAATCCTCCTAGTGAAAAGGACCTAAAATGTACTTGAGAATTTAGTCCCAATGTTCAAACAGAAATTCATGAAACTGAAAAGAAGAAGCTGTCACTCACTGTCAGTTAAAACTCAGATTTTTAATTGCACCCTACTGATAGCTCATCCTAAGATGATATTTGACAAAAAAAAAATTGTTTGTTTTGGCTCCATTCTACTGTGCCAGAAATGAGAAGTGTGTTTTCTCAAAAATATGGAAAATTATTACACCAAGATCAGCTGCTGATCACTACTTCTCAGAACTTTTTGTCTGAGTTGCAATCTATTCAGAAGATCCTGAGAGTGTTTCTTTCCATATGGAGCGCTAAATTCTGTATTACACTATTCTCTGAAATTTCCTACAAGACCCACAGTAGTACTCAAACATGCATCCCAGGTTCTAGAAGTTTGGACGCTTAGACCTGAGAAGTGCTGAGGTTGTGCTGAATACTGCCATTTGCCAAAATAATTTTGTTGCTTTATCACAGTACCTCTGTACTTGGCTACATTTTAGTTTTCTCCTTTATGTTTTATAATTTCACTGGTCAAATATAAATTTGCATGACTTGTAACAGAAGGAATGATTTACGTGTGATTTATGAATTCTACCTTAACATAGAGCAAACAGACAATTTTTCAGTGCTGTGAAGTGAGGCCTGTTCTTACCATACAGTTCATGGCAAAGTGATTGTGCTGTGTCTGAAGCTCCATTGCGTGGGGGTGACTGGTTCCAATCTCTGTGTAGCTGTTCAGAAACAGACCTTTGTTGTGTGTGATCCAGTCAAACATCTACAAGAAAATATTAAGAAAAAAAAAAATCACTAAATTTGTTATGGCAGAAATCATAGACATGTAATGTGAGAAATCTGTGAACACAGAAGACAAAGTGTCTAAGGCCATGAAAATTAACACTGATGTTCTTCTGATTGTAAGTTACCGTACATTTTAACCCAATCATTGCTGAAATCTGGCCTTTTGGACCAAACAGCTGAGGCTGTTAAATCTTTACTATAGGCATTTATCTACACAAGCTACAGTAAAGTCATAATCATAAAGTTATAAACTTCATTACTAGTCATAGTAAACAAACAGGCTTGGAGCACAGCCCTGAGTTACCAAGCTTATACATTCTCTAGTGTCAGCATTCCACGATGCCAGCAGCTTAGTAATTTAGAATGAAAATAGCAACTCATGGAAATGAAATATAAATTCATTCTTGCTGATCAAGTACTTCAGCAGCAAGTTTAATATTTTTAGTTCATAACTTTACAGCAGATTTGAAAACAACTTTTCTATTGCTAAACAAATTTTTAAAAAAATCATACTTAAGCAGAGCTACGCATTACCTTCTTCCAGACAAGCTTAAGGATAATCTTTAAATACGTTTGGGTTTGGTTCGGGGTTTTTTGTGGTTTTGGGTTTTTTTTGTTTGTTTGTGGGTTGTTTTTTTTTTTTTAAAGTATTTCAATATTCAAAGAAATTTTAGCAAAGACCTTATCTGACAATGACCATCAATGGAGGTACATAGGTGTGTTAACAGAGGCACTAGAAGATACAATTTCCAAACACCAAGCAACACAGCAAAAGGCTAAGTTTAACACCCCCACGCCCCCGCAATGGTCTTGAAATCTTTGCTATATCTCAGCTCAAAAGACGCACCTACTCTCTGGATAAGGTGAAAAAGGTTGTTCAGAAAAAAAAATGGTAGCAATGAGCAGTACGTAGTCATTGTAAGATCTGTTAAAATATACTAACTAACAGAGCAATATTATCCATTATTCCACCCAGGTACATGACAAATGGAATTATAAGTAGACCACAGAATGTTAAGGACTGTAAACAAAAAAAAAAAGTTTTGAGAGCTTAGACAACTGACACAGCTGATCACATACTCCTGAAATTTTCAGTTTCTTATCTAGACTACAGTGAAGATGTGTTAGAACATCACTCAAAATAGACACTGGTCCTGCTCACGACCACCTTTCTCTAGATAGTCTGACTTCACTTCCTTCTAATACGTACAAGGCAATTCCAATCAGATTTCCTCCCACCTCACCCCTGTTTTGCCTTCTCTTCTCCTAAACCAACCCAGATTTCTTATGCTAAGAACTGTGCAAGTCCTCCAAAATACACGTTTATTTTGTCCCCATCCAATATCCTTTATTTTTCCAACAAAGATCCAGCCCTTTCCCACACCTAAATAAACCACATAGACATACACTAAAGAAGCTCTGACCTGTGAAATCTAATCTGACACAAGCAGTGAAATAAAGGCTGCGCATAGATTAAGGCAAGGGCCTTAATTCAAAAGTGAGTTGGGATACTACAGAAACCTCTTTTTAATCTTTTTCTACTGGTTTACGAGAGAATAAAGTCCCAGGTATGCCAGCTGCTGTCAACCCCATTCTGAGGTGCCTAACATCTCCCTCTGTTTTGAAAGAAAGACGCATTAATTTAATATAGACTTATTCTTTGAAGAGGGAACCTAGGAAACACAGATAGGAGCTTATACAACAGGCAGGACAGATCATTCCCGCAGGCTCAAGTATTTCACAAGGAGTTTCTTAAATCTCAAGTTATGTAGACAACTTTTAGATGAGAAAATATCAACACCACGTGAGCACCATCAAAATATATTATGTTCATGCTGTAATAAACAATAATTAATGCTGTAATTAAGTGTCTGAAAGGTTGCTAAAAAGCATTTTGGGCCTGAAAGAGCAATACTAGACCAACAGCTTGTTATTTTCTAAATAATTTTATAACTCTAAATTGACTTGACCAGATTTTTTTCAACTCTTTACATGTCCCTACCTTTTTCAGCTACACCCACTCAGCAAACACTTTAAATGGTACTTTTAATTTTTATATTTTTTTTTTAAACCCAGCAAAAAACATTAAGACTAGTACAAAGAAAAGTCCCTGAGCTGAAATGATGATGGTAAGGGAAAGATGAGGGAAGAAAATAGAGGAAGAGGGAGGAAGAAGTAGTATTATGTATGTTTGCTCTGCTTTTTCTCTTCCTTTGGTTATGGCTACTGCTGGACAGAAGGATACTGGTTTAACACAGACCTTTGGTCTCATCCAGTTCAGGCATTCTTACATAAAATATTTTAAGAAATTTGACAAAGACCTTACTTAACTGCATAGTCTAGTTACTACTTCTCCTGGAGAAAAACTCCCCACCCTTCCTTAAAGCTATTTGTTCCATGGTAACAAGTTAATAATCTGTGATTGCAAAACTATTCTATAGAAAACAGATCTTATTTGAGCTCATCAAAAAGTGAAAACTGCCCGCCACATTTCCTCTTCAAATTCCATGACAACTAAGGACTTTCTTATCTGAAGGGACTGGTTAGCCCGAAACATTCTGAGATAGTACTCAGTCCTCTGTAAACGACATATGCACTGTCAAAAGAAATTCATCATTTTTTAGCCTGGAACTGTAAATCCTGCATCAATTAAGCAGTTGCCCGTGTCATCCTCTTCAGACTTTGTTGACTGCTTGTCACTCAAATCCCAAGGGTCACTCAAAAGGAGACCAATGCAGGTCCTCAGTCATCTGTATTTATAAAATATACAGTATTCATCTTCACTTGATGCATGCAAAAGCATCTGTCTGGAACAAAAACCTACCAAAGCAAAAGCTATAAAGTCACCACCACTTAAAATGTTCTTCAGTGAGAGCTACCTGTGTTCTTTACAGCTTAGAATTACTACCCTATCCCCTTTACTCCACAAGACTAAGAGTCACTCTCAATCAAGAAATCCTTATTTCTCATTAAATGGCTAGTGACTAACTCCAAAGACAAAAATTACTATTTGCAGTTATCCTTGAGACTTCTTTCAAGTCCATCAAGCAGTGCCCATTTGTACTCCCCTCCCCCAATCCCTTACCTTTTCAGCATCCTGCTCAAACAGCCTGAGCTGAAAACATTGGTCCAATTTCAGTTTCCGCACATGCCACATCTGATGCAGATGCTGCCGTGTTGAGTGCAGCCTGTCCAGCATGGTGGATACTTTGGGTAAAAGGTTCTGTAAGTCTGCATTCCCTGACCCAGAGTTCTTTTTGGGAAAGCTATCACTGCTCTGTATCCGTTGGAGCAGCTTTTGTCCTTCCACATCAAGGTCCTCGATAGGGGCCTTAATTACTTTCTTTTTTAATTGTGAATGCTCCTCTATCATATTGCGAGCACCTTCCAGGTCCTGAGGCATTTCCTTTTTTGACAATATATCTTGCAATTCCTCCAGTCTGGACAGCATATGGGTTGCATTGCTAATGTAGTCCTCAAAGGCAACTCTGATTTCTATCCACTCCTCATGGTTGTACTCCAAACAGCCATCAAATTCTGGGGTTAGCTGAGAAGGATCAACTACTTTGGTAAGGCCTTCCAGAGACACCATATTTGTCTAAAAAATAAAAATTAAAATTAAAAAAAATGCTGTTGCTGAAATGAATGTGACATTTTCTTTCAAGTTTTTGTTTTTCCCTTTTTAAGACTTGATCATTCTGCTCATGAAGTCCACGTGCCTTAACTTTTCTCACACGCTTCTCAAATATCAATTCTGATCAGCCTCCTGTCTTGCAGGTATTTCCCCAAATAAGAGAAACATTTTATTTCTTTCTTACCTCAGTACACCTAAGGAGAAAACAGCAACAATTCTTTTGGCCACTGTTTTGATTAAGTTTTGACTTTGTGTATTGTAAAGCAGCAGGAGGATAACGGCAAGGCTCAGTTGGCTGCTTTCCTCTGGAGGCTGATGATATCATGATTACCACAATGCAGATCAAGACAACAAACAGATGAAACCTAACCTTTTACTATTAAGGATAAAACCCTAATTCCATCCTTCTCACGCTCAGAATAAGACTATAAATGACAACATGCACAACTACCTAGCCTAAGTACATGAACACAACCACATTCCTTCTAGCACCGCTGGCCTAATGTAACCTTCATCTCATCTAGAACATTAATTTATCTGAGAGTTTTCACAATGCTCATCAGTAGTGAGCACACCTAAACCCATGAAATAAATGTATATTTGAATACCATAGGGGAAATTACCTCAAACTCAAACTTAGAGCTGCCAAAGTTAGTCCTCTGTTTCTGCCAGAAATTGTCTGGCTTGATTATCAGTGCAACATGAATACAACATGGAAACGATTCCTGTAAAATCTTCAGCAGAGGCTTTATGGAGTCCCATTTTGACCCACGCATATCTACAATGACGGTGAATCCTCGTTTACATACTTCCTCACTGCAGAAGAAAGAAGAAAAGGTTATTGAGCAATTGTTACAACTTCAAACACAGCACAAACACACTAATGAACACGGTCTCCTCAGCTAACTGTTAACACCCTAGGGTCTCACAGTTGACTAACTGACACATACGGCAGATCCCATGAACCCCTCAGGAAGCTTCTCTCACCCCCCTGCCAAACTCCTTGCAGGTGATAGCTTTACAACTGTTGCCGATTTGATAATCTGCCTTTATCTCCTCTTTCATTGTCGTTGTTTACATTCACGATGATTCATATTTCAGTCTTGTTTCTCCTTCACGCTACACACACATTAAACACACCATCTACTGAAGCAGCAATACGTAATTCATTTACAATTGACTCTTCACAACACACACACACTTCACTGATGGCAATATTCATGCCTTTCTAATGACTGAGGGGATCCTCTAAAAGACAGGACATGGCATACTGTTCTTACCTACCACTTCTGTAACTTTTTAAAACTGCCTCAGATTTAGTCCCACATGATATGAGAGGTAAAGTGTCTGCAGAGGGGGAAAAAACCTTTACTGACAATTCCTTCTGGAACAGGATCAGTTTGTGGATAGTTATTGGATAAGAAAGCATTTCATAGCTGTGAAGAAAACCGCATCAACCTGTTTCTAAAAAATTTGAGATCAATTTTGCTGTCCAAAAGTTGACAGATGTTACACCCAAATTCTCTGGCAACTCTTCTGAGAATGGCAGATTTAAATTATTTTCCTCCATACCTTTTGTACACTTAATGCTTGCCACTGATCAAAAGTGGCAGTCACCACCAACACCAGAAATTTTGATTTTGTTCCAGTAGAATTTGCTACATGACTTTGTTGACACAGAAAAGGAAAATATTTCAAAACCAGTGCATCATAGCCAATGGACTATCAAAAGGGACCTAATGTCCATTGTTTGGGTACATGAGTCACTTTCAGGGATATGACTAATGTAAATGTAACTCTGGACTTCATGTGGTGAGGTTTTCAGAGTGTCCAAGAAGTAGGGAAGCTTCACTGGCACACTTTGCACAGTCTCATTGTCCACACTGTAGAAAGATGAGTTATGAGTGATATAGGAGAGCACAAGAACTTCTGAAAGAAGTGATAACACAGGTTCCTTAGAAGAGTTTTTTTTAAAGGTTAAAAAAAAACCACCAAACCCACCATTTAAAAAGGGAGTTTATCAAGATAAATACTGGCTCTCCCACCTGCCCATAGGAATGCCAAAAATGGCAACAGTAGCAGGAAAATACATTAAAATTTATTACCTTGGAATACACGTAGGCTGCAACATATGATTTTTCTGATCATAGTGAAAACGTTTTCTAACAGCCTCACAGGACTAAAGGACAAAATCAACTAGTGTTACAAAGACGCACCCATTATTGAAAGGCTGCAAGTTATTAGACAAGTGCTGCTCAGCCCATCCCTATCCTGCCACACAAACTGAGCATTGTGAGGAGGAGTGCTCACCACTAATTCACGAGGTATACATCTACTGAGGTGTACAAAGCGACTCCTCATCATGTGATACAATGCAGATGTGTCCTGTCATGTGGCCCCATTATCTGACAAAAGATGAATCGGAAAAGGATTGGAAAAATTGTTCTAGAAGGCTTAACTCAGCCAAGGTCATCTGTTAGGTAAACCTGAACTACACTAATACCTGGTCCAGTCCATGTTGGTGACTTAAGTTTAGCAATATTTTTAAATTAGATAAACTGTTAAATTAGTAAAATTGTGAGACTGAACTACATTAAGTGTTTAGATCTCTTGCCAAACAACCGATACCTTTGAATCTTCAGCTATGTAGAGTAACAGTACTGCAATAACTAATAGACAGACCAAGTGTTCGGGGCTATTTGTACCAACCAGGACTTCTTAATTATCAAGAGTTGCATTATCAGTTCCTAAAACATGACCTGTATGGAAATGAGTCTTGCTTTTAATAAAGCTCACTTTATTCTTAAAGCTTCGTCATGCTTACAGATATAAACCCTGCACTAACTTTCTATTAATTTTAAATCTATTGACGCTAAACTAACATACCTCTTTTGCCAGATGACCACTGTTGTTTTGCCAGATTATCTCACGAAAACTCTTGGGCATATTTTGATGCATATTTATCTATTAACTTCTCTAGTAACTTGAACCTATAGAGGACTAGAATACATCTCAAGCATTCAAATGTGAAGTCAAATTATTTCAGAAGTAAAAAATCTCAAGCATTCTTCCCCTCCTCCTCCTGCTACCTCCCCAAAATCCTCCATTTAAAAAAAAAAAAAAGGAAAAAGTACTAACCACTCCTACACTTAAGCGAAATAAAGACTAGAATAACTGGATTCCCAACAACTGCTCTTAAGGAAGGCCATACACACGGTCAACTAGATATCTTGAAGTTATTTTTATGAAAATACTTTTGCCTGATTAAGTCAGGTGCAAAGAAAACTGCCTATAAATTAATACGTTACAGAAATACGGAAGATATTGCATTCAGGGATGTTGTCCAAGGGATTGTTTTCAACTGTAATGACAACTGCTCCTTGAGGTCATAAGCAAATATATTCAAGCACAGTCAGCATTGCTCCAGTCTGCACCAAATGCTGGCATATTCTGCGATGGACCTAAAGTCAGGGTCTTACAATCATTTTTGTCCCCAATTCCGCTACTACTACTAAGAAAGTCCTATGTGAACAAACTTTTTTACATATATAAAATATATAACTTTTTAAAAAATATATATAAAAATATATATATATATGTGGGTGTGTATATATACGCACACACTAGCACTGGATTTGACTTCTGTTGATTTAAATAACACATCGTAATTCATAGCTTAAATTGTTGATAATAAAATGGTATCAGTACTTTCACATATTTCTCCACAGGTTTATCTGAGACCTGTACAAGCAAGCTTACATGTCTCTCTCCTGGTGACACCTCTGCTATATCAGGACACTATAACTCATCCAATACAAGTAACAGTTAGGAGTGTTGTGCTGACCTCACTCCACACAAGGCATATTGTGAATGATGACCAGCATGCTTCTCATTATTGATGTACTGAAAGCCTCTGAGTTGTATTCACAATCTTCAACACAGTGACAGCAATATGGCATGGCAGTGCAGCTTCCAAGACAAACTACTTCCAGCTAAAGCACACCAGCCGTTCTGCCAACAGCCCTCCTTCTACAAGGCAGAGTAATTATTTAGGTCTCTTCCAAAAAGCAGTTTGAAAACAGTAACTGACAGAACTTGGTATGAATTTGCTCATTTTCTTAACCCGTTCAGTGTTCTAGCTTGTGGGTCTACTGCAACATAATCAATTTATTTTGTTTTATAGCTTCACAGCTTATCAAGTGACCACCACTTACCTAGGAATACACGCTAAGTATGAAATTAGTCTTCTAAGGTCTTCCTGCCGTATTCTATCATGATTACTACGAGCTGGAAACGTTAGAATGGGACCTCCACGCTTATCTCTGCCACCTGAAAAATTAAACATGTTAATAGACCCCACAGCATAACACCATTCTTGTTTGCAAAACTAGTCTTTTTGGAAACACTTTTGGAAAACCCAAATCCTACACTGTTTCATGCATATCCACTTAAAAAAAAAGAAGTGACTTCAAGTTAAATGCCAACATTTTTATTTAAAGACCAGCCTAAAATTGAATTCTGGGTGTATCAATCAGCATACTGTCACACTTCCTACAGTGAGGAAGTATGTAAAAAAAAAAATTGAAATAAAGTATAACCATAGCATTACACTTATATATTACAGTCACATTCAAGTTTGACTGGCCATGTGACATCTCCAGAAACGGTGCTTTTTTATGTATTTAACGTTTGAAGCAGCAATTACACAGATTAAATTTAAATAGAGTTACGCTACTTTGTAGGCAAGTATTGAGAGGATACTCAGCATTAACTTCATTACTAGCACAAAGTTTAGGCGTGTAGTATTTCACATCCAGTGCATATACTAGATGAGTAGATGGATACTATTTAAGCATTTAATTTTTATTTTTACGCTGTTCTGATGTGCAGATTCTGAATTTTCAGTTTATAGTTTTTAATTGTTAGCAATGCAGGAAAATTCTGAATCCACTTAATATGTAAGGCAAAAAAAAAAAATCTAACTGGCTCCATTTAAATATATCCATTTGTTAAATGATAAACAAATGTGTGCGTTTGTTAAATTGCACAGACTTACTGTAGCTGAACGTTAAAATTTTTTTTATATCCAAATCCTTGCTAGTGACAAGAAAATGTTACCATTACGAAATGCTAAATTCAAGTCAGTAGGCCATCTTTATCAACACTTGCGTAATAGTACAGATGCATCTTACAAGCTAAATTTCACATATATGTTCCCAGCCACAGATGCGTGGACTGTTTTCTGCTGTCCCATAGAAATGCAGAAAAACACTACCCTGTCCTGAACGGTTTCTCATTGTAAATCAGCTCTTCATTGTAAATCCATGTTATTAAACTAAGTTTTTAAAAAATTCCTTAGAAAGGAAGGCCAAAAGCAAATTAATAAAACCAGTCACTCAGAAATTCATCACTATTCTCCCCAATGCAATCTGCACGTGCTTGCTAGAGACCTAAATCTAGCTGTCAATGTCTCCAGGGACTGTCTGCACTGGATATGTCCCCCATGAGACACCAAATGAAACTCAGAAGAGGCAAAAAGCAGCTATGAATTTCTGTCAAGCTGCAATGCCAAAAACCAGAAACTTAAAATTAATTTCATATTCCTATCTTCCACTACCCTTTTAAGCGGGACATGAGATTAAAAACAACTGAGTTGTCTCATTCTGACGGAGACAGGCAACTCTGGTCTTGACCATCCTGATCCACTTGCCAAGTAGAGAGCTTTGAGGATTTTTACATAGCAAGTGACAGGATAAAAACAAGACAGAAGCCACAAGAGAGAGGAAGGACAAATGACAAGACTGAGTGTCCAACAGCCCAGGCCTCCACTCAGCTCCAGAGATCACTCTGGGCTCCAACGCTACCAAATTTAGCTGAAAGTCTGCTGCAGACTTAATGGTCTCCTCAGTGCACCACAGGCCATCAGCTACAGCTCTTAAAAAATCTACATTTCAACTGGTAAACGCTACTGATTCCAACTCCCCAGAAAAAAATGCTTGATCGCTCAGGGTGGAAATTCTTCTTTAAAAAGCAGCAGCTCGCAGGGAAGAGCATATGCTGAACTGTCTTTAACACTCCCTAAGCATTTTAAACAAATGCCTTGTTACATGCAGTCACCTCAGATCAGTCCTCCGGGCCTTACCCACACAGCAACTCCTGTATCATGCAGTGGCAGAGGAAAGAAACCCATATTCTTTATGTCATTGCGGATGCCACTTCAGTTGGCTCCCAGCTCCACATACAGCACAGAGAAAACCCATTTTTAAAGTATGGTGCTTAAATTTCTGATAAATCATACCCTGAAATTTTTGTACACTGAAGACAAAAATGGGTCACACAAATTTCAGGTCTAGATGAGTGATGAAGAAATTATTATAGCCTTGATTTTTTCGTGAAAAGAATTTCCCTATCCAGTCTTAAACCAGATACCAAAATTGAAAATATTAAGTAAAAAAGTCTAAGACTTGTTTTTTTCATCAGCTACACTGAAAGCTTTCTTAGGCCTTTTCCAATAAATAACTCTCATTTCCTTTGTTCCTGATGCTCCTGTGTCATACACAAACAGGAATGTTAAAAGCAACAATGTATGAGCCATCAGGTGGGAATTTCCTGTCTCACAATAGTCTTTATCCAACTCAACCCCCTATTTGACTCCGTTTAACAACAACATATTAAGCTACTACTTTCAGCAGTGAGACTTCCATTTTTACCCCTTTTATATAAAACCCTCACAGTACTGAGATATTCTCTCTGTTTATGCCAAGATGTGTCATATGAGTAGCTGATCAAGTCACATGAGTCACCCAACATGAATCACTTCTGTCTGGTGCACATCACTAACAGCAGTCTTGTCAACAGTCTTCAAATGGCACCAAAATCCAACAGGCTGCTGTGCAGTTTTTTCAGGAAATGTCTTTTTACCTAGTTTCAAAGTACTTATGAAAAGCTGAACAGAGGACTTTTATGGCATGTTTGAAAAGCATGACAAGTCATCAAGCACTATTTCCTCACATTAAACCAACATAATTGCGTCCTGTAAGAAAATGCTCTCCTCCTGTAAGCAGGTGTAGATATGTAAGAGTATCTGTACTTCAACAGACTTCAGTTAAAACTTAACCAAAAAATTGCATCCAAGACTCCATTCGTACTTCATCATTACATCTCTGAGAGGTTTTTCTATTTCAGGTGATGAGACACCCAGTTCTCCAGGAGATTATTTCCCAGTTAGGTGAAGATAAGTTCAAGGAAGCTCCACCCTCCACCTTTAGTTTTTGTTGTTTGAGAACCACTCTGTTGGCAATTTTAGAAAGACAACACAGGATTCACAGGGAAGCTGAACCCAAGCATTTGCACTCTACACATCAAGTTATTTTGTTACTTTGACCAATACAAGACAAAGCAGCACAGTTTGTCACACTGGTTTCGTGAAGGACAAGTATTTCCAATACAGAATTTACTCCAGAAGCAATATGTACAGATACCAGAATTCAAGCTAGCTTGGTGACCTTTGGGACTTTGCAGTTATCAACCTACATACAGCAAGATGTACTTCACAATACTTCACAAAAGTATTTGTTCTTCTGTACTTCCTTGCCTCCTGCCCTAGCAAAAAAAATACCTGCTTCAAGATCTGTTTCAGAATTGAGTTCTCAGAGACTACATCTCTCCTCCTCACTCCAACTGTCACCCAGTCTAATGATTTTACCTTTCTTTAACAGTTTGAACACCATAGCTACACTAACATATTTTAAGATATGCAAGGAACACACAGATTTTAACAAGTTCAGATGACTTATCTGCATCATAGTCCTCATTTGCATATTGTTGTACAAAATTTAGTTCAAATTCACCTGCCGCCCCAGTTTACAAAAACACATCATTAATAGCTCAATAAAGAAGGCTAAACTGAATTGTGATGATGGAAGAGAAAGCAAAAGTGAATCACATCAGATCTACTGTGATTTCTGGCAGAAGAAAAGCAACCACTGAAACAGTTTTTTCAAAGTGATGAAGTAGTCAGACTGTGCAAAGAAAAAGAAATTATGTTGAGTAGATCTGTTAAATACATCCACCTGAAAACAAATTAAAAGGAATAAATGAAAAGCAAGGACCGAAACAAAGCAATATAGAATTACAGTCTAACTCAGGGTAACACAGGTCGAAGAGGTACCTGTTGGAGGAGAAAAGGGAAACTCTCATTTATAAATAAGTTTAATCACAACATAGTACACTTGGAGTAAAAGTGATATCTCAGTGGGAGATATCTGTTATGAAGAGCTTTAACTTGATTAAAACACTGAGATTTCTGATTGGATCAAAACATCCTCTCAAGAATGGCTTAGGAGATACCTATGGTGGAAACAGTCATTGCCCCTCATCTTCTCTATATAGCTCCTTGTGAAGAGAGCACCTCCATCCTCTCTGTAGCTGCCCTTTAAGTACTGCAACACTATGATAAGGTCACCCCTGGGCCTTCTCTCCTGCAGGGGGAAAAGACCTAACTCCTTCAGTCTTTCTTCACAGGGCAGGTTCTCCACCCTTTGATCATCTTCATGGCCCTCCTGCAGACCCTTCTCCAGTCTGCTTGCATTTTTTTCTTTAATTGTGGGGACCAGACCTGGACACAGTACCGCAGGTGTGGCCTGAAAAGCACCAAGTCGATTGGGATGACCAGCCACACCTCTAGCCCTGTTAGTAACGCCCCTCTGGATACAGACCAGGGTCATATTTGTCTGTGTTGCCACAACAGCACCGTGCTGACTTATGTTCAGCTTTCTGTCCACCAGGACCCCCACGTCCCCTTCAGCAAGGTTGTTCCTCCGCCACACAGACCCTAGCCTGTACTGGTCTCTTTGGTTATTCTGACCCAGGTGGAAGTCTCTGCACTTGTGTCTCAAACTTCAGACTGTTCTTGCCAGCCTACTCTTCCAGCCTGTCCAGGTCTCTCCATAAGATGGCTCACCCTTATATGTCCATCTCACAAGCTGGTCTCGAGAAGTGCTTAAGAAAGTCAGCACTGTGGAGAGATCAGTCTTCAGTATTCTAAGAACATAAAGATGAATATACTGCTATATACTCCATACTTACTCATTTAACTTGGGAGAAGGAAGGTCTTAGCAGAGAAGGGCAGAGAAAAGACTGGGGAAGTGAACTCAGGATCTCAAACACTCGAATTTTTTTTTTCCCAACTCTTATTTCTGTAACTTTCCTGCTCTATAAAAAAGAACCTTTTCTTTGCACTGTTGATTGTCATACTTCATTTCCACTTGAGAAGGTACTTGACAATCAACAATGAACATGTTGCAACAACTCTATGAGAACTCTGACATAAATGAGAGAGAACAAAATACAAAAACTATAGTGACGTTTGTGGATGCCTTAGGCTTAATGAGACTATCACGAGTTTTTAGTAGAGATAACTTAAGAGTTATTTTTAGGTAATTTTAGTAGAGATATCCCCAATAAATTTGTCCTACTTCAACAGTCCTTGACCAGTTATTTTACTTACAAATTTTAAAACCAAGTACTTCAGCAAAAGTTGTACTTTTGAAGAAAAAAAAAAAAAATAAATGAGGTGCATTGAAAGCCTCTGTAAGGCAGCAATCCAACAGTCTTCCTTACCTTTGTGTTCCCAGGTATAAAACTTCTCAGTTCTAGTTCCACAATGGTTAAGCCCTAGCGGTGGTGGTACTTTTGTTAGGGGTTTTTTGTTTGTTTTGTTGTGGGTTGTTGTTTGGGTTTTTTTAAATAACTTGCGCTACTAATGTATCTCATTTATTTGAGCTCCACTTGCAATGGAAATGTGAAACTACAGATTTTGGCAGATCAGTTCTGGCCGGTCTTGCTGCCCACAGCTGTTTCCTCCATTCTTCTGTCAGAAGTTGCTACCTTCACACAGGCAAGTTTGCAACCACTTCTTCCTGCCTGCACCTCATCTGCTCTGGTTCATAATCCATCATCTCTCCTTAAATTTATCTTCAGCTTTCCTTTGGCCCACTTCGCTTTCACTGAATTAATGCCTTTTGAGAACGTCATATGTTTATAAATTAACGTTAGAGAACACCTATCATCTTTCAAATGCCTTCTAAGGGGTCTAAAGAAATCCTGGACAACCTGAAAATTCAGAAGTTTAGGAAACTGACTACATTTTCATTAAGTGCCATAAAGTAAAGTCCAAAAAACAATAATGAGGGATTGAAATACTGTGCTTAACTCCCTCTTCCCCTCTTGTTTCCCTCTGAAAATAGTTTTAAGCAAGCTTTCAAAAGCATTACAATTCATAAGCAGAAGAATCAGGATTTCTCACACTACCAGTGAAACTGGCTCTGGGCAGTCTGTTATATATTCATTACAGTTGACAGGACCTTTTAAAAAACCCATACTTTTTTGCTTTACACCTCTACTTGACTCAGCAGAATGGACAGGATGAAGTACTGTGAGCTACACCCTGTACTTGCAAGCATCAGCATCCACGCACAGCAAATCTCTAAAGCGTGCAATTATACGGATCATTTTGTATGTTTTAATATTTACAGATAAGAGCGCTATTTTTGGAGTTCTTGACAAATCATTTATAAGAAAAAAAAAAAGCCCTTTCAAACATGAGACTGTCCTCTAAATCATTTGACACTAAGATTATGGCAAAGAGAATTAATGTTGTTTAAACCCAACAGATTTGGGAGTACTTACTTCAGAAAGACACATCAAAATGCAGTTCACAAGAATAAGCACTCTGGCCATCATTCCATCAAGTAAAATTACTTATCAAGTCACAGGATATGTTATGATATTCATTCATCTAAACACCACTTTTATATTCTCTGCTATTCCTTGTTAAGTAACCAACCAACTTCAAGGTGTACTACAGAGATAGCTAAAATCAGATGCTAACTCATTTCACCATGAAGATAGTAAGTGTGCACTGAAATTTCACCTCTGCAACAGAAATATTTCTCCAGTGCTTTAGATGGGCCACTAACAAAGCTGTCTCTGTAACATTTTCCAGCAGAAGAACTAGAAGTAAGCGAAGGAACATGACTACAATACAGCCGGTTGTTCTAAGTAATGCTGTTGGATATGCAGTGGGGACAGGACACCATCAGGATGACAAGATGCTTCTTGTATGTGCCACATTGAACAAAATATATATGTTTTTTATTACAGATCCTTTCAAAATGGTCATGTTATGTCTGGGATATCCAACCGGAATAGGTGCTACCCTAGCTTTCCATGACTTTTGCAATGATACTTGAAGTATTTAAAATACTGCTTTATATGTGATTAACACCACAGTTATGCATTCCACAACAGAAGAAAATAACTGTACCTGAAAGGTATGCAACTTTTTCCTTTAAAATTGGCAATACTTCCATAGCCTTCATTTCATCATTTTTGCGAAACCCTGGGAAAAAAGGAAAAGATAATTAATTAGAAATTCAGACAAGCTCAGCTTCTACATTTAATGAATGTACTGTAAAACATTTACCTTTGGAATATAATCTGAATGTTATGATTACAGAATTAATATAACCTTACAGTAAAAGGCTGCAAACAAATAAATGAAACTTTTAAAATATATTAACGAACAAGTCATCACTGACTAGCTTAATACAAATACTACGGTCTGTTAGCAAGCCTCTGTAGAAAATAGAATACCGGAATTAGCCTTCTCCATCAGTAAATAAAAACTATTAGTTGGATCCTGTTGCTTTTAGACATTCCAAATCCCACTTTCACTTTTTGTTCCAGCAGAGAGGAGTAGTAGTATTAAAGTTAGTATGAGTATGTACCTTCAGAACAATTACCAGTCAAAAAAAAAAAACCTCAAAACAACCCCAACCGCAAACCACCCCAAAAATTCCCACTCCCCCAAAAAAACACCACACAAAAAGACCCACCAAAAAACCCCAACACTATTTACATGCAACTTTTCTTACATCACTTCTGTAAGTAGAATTGGGACATAAAGCTTCCAACTGTGTCTTTTCTGCTGCCTGACAGGAGCAGTGTTTTGTAACAGAGAGCACATTGTGTCATGTTAACTCATGGAGTCTGAAATGGTCCCAAGGTGAGCGATTACAGTCAATGCTGCAAAGCAGCACACCACCAGCTTGTCCCTCCTCCCATTACATTTCTGTGGCCAGCTTCTAAACTTCTCCCTTCTTTAACAAGAGAGATTTAGGAAGCACTTAATTTATGACCTTATGTTCCATATTAACCTGTATAATACAGTATCGGTCCCTTTTGAGCCAACCTTGTTCATGTTACAGAACTTGGATGGTTTTGTACCCACACTTCAATTAACTGTCTGTGTGATCCTTCTCAGTCTCTTTGGATTCATGTGTTTTTAAAAAAAATCTCATTTCTGAAGACAGTAACTATTCTGGGGTAAGTGGGAAGCACTTTCTTCTCTATCACTGTTGAAGCCCAGAAGTGCTGTTAAGGCAGCCCAAACAGGCTGCTACAACACAGCACTTTTGTTCCTTAAAAGCAACAGTTTGAGCTATTTAGAAGATGAAATTAGGTTCTTAATTATTTACAGTTTCAGGGAAATCTTACAAGAGCAAGTTCTGGTGTAAATGCTGTAGTCTTTTCTAAAATACATTGTTCTTCCTCTGTGCAAAAGGGCCACAATCCCTCTAGAGAAGGTAGCAGAGGCTGTCATTGATGCCCAGCAGGGAGGCCATCATTTCTCTCCCTCCTCATAAACATCCAAATGTTTCATATTCTTTGGTCCCAGGCTCTGAGCTTTAATGAAAGAGCTGTGCACTTCAGAACTAAAACCTGAAGGTATAATACTGGTGTCATCAAGTAATACAAGATCTGTAAATAAAGGCATCATATATGTAAATTACACCACAGGTTTTTCATTCCAGCCAGCAATACTGAGACTTCTGTGCCACTACAGTATCTAGTTGTGGACACTACCCTTCAAAACAGACCCAGGACACACCAACCAGAACACCCAAGGGACAAAGCTGGCCAGGTGTTTACACATCATGAGCTATGAGGAAGGATAAAACCAAATGACACTGTTTAGTTCTCAAAACACACGAAGTCTAGTGGTGGCAAAAGTAAGCTGGCTAGAATTACAGTGATAGGTTTACTTTAGACAGTAGGAAGCTTTGTAAAGGAAAGAACTGTGAAGCAGCACACCAGACTGCCTGTGGAAGACTATGGACTACCCATGACTGGGAATTTAAAAAAAAATGCATTTAGATAAATGTCTGTCAGCAATGGGTCCCTCCAGTTCACTGTAACTGAAGCATTCAGCCAGGACATTGTCTCAGCACCCACAGATTACAACAAAAGAAAACTAAACAATTCTTCTTCTAGCCACTGGTTAGTCCCTATTGTTCCATGGTCACCATAAACAAACCCAAAATTCGATACACTTTCCCAGAAAGGCTAGACCAGGACCGGTTCCTTGGGTAACCATGCTGCATGGAGGCTTTATACACGATGGACAGTATTCTGCAATTACACAACAACTCCAGACTGACAAAGCGGCGGAGGGACACAGCTATTCCTTTCATGTTGGCGCTTAGACTCTCAGGAGTCTTAAGACAGCTCCAACAGAACCTTTTGCACTATTCCTTCCTCCAGAGTATTGGCTATGGGTTATCAACCTTTTACTGAAACTGCCTACAGCTTTGTTCCTACCAGGTTTTCATTTAGTATGGACTAAAGCTTTAAACAGGACTTTAAGAAAAACCTGGGGCTTAAATAACTCATCTAAAAAGACAGCAAATGCCTTTTTCTACCTTGAAATATTTGGGCTTTAGTTGTCTGCTAAGGCTTACAGGCACACTTCCAGAGTTAAATTTTTCTTAAACGTGCTTTGAGGTACCCACCATAAGCTTAATGCCAATCTAGCACGCTCAGCTTTCATATCAACCATGGCAATTCCTTTTCTTTACAGTAAATTTAGAGGTAGAAAACACTTTCTCCTCACATAAAAGGCATGCAGAAACTAGTGCTGTACTTTGCTGTCTATCTTAGCTCAAAATTACCCAAGACACTGATGTTACCGCAACTTGCTTGCTCAGATTTCTAAGCCCTTAAACTACTTCACCTCAGACGATGCACAGTAGCTGCGCATTTTACTTTGCCTGTGGCACGTAAGAAGCGAGAAACATCAAGACAACATTTCTTTGACTATTAAGGGGCTGCTCAAGGTAAACACCCTAGCAAATACGTTAGTGCTTGGCTCATGTTCTGGATCTGCATATCCTTAAGGCTGACTGCCTTGGATTATCATATTCCTAAACAGCCTATTTTTATTCCAGTTCTGCAGTGTTAAAGCTTAACTGAAAAGACTGTAGGGATTACAATTGACGAAAGAATGCTGAGGAGCAAAGAGGGTGAATACGGCAAGAAAGTATCGTATTTTTATCTCCAACAGAGCAATGCTAAAACAAAAAAAACAGCAATATAAGCAGGTCTTAAGGGCTTGGGGTGGGTCCTCCCTCCCTTTTTCAAAGCCACTACAGCACAAAACATTTGCCATTATGAGGATTTCGTGGTGGGTTTTGT